TTGTTATATATAGAAAATACAAATAGAAATAGGGTCATTTTGAACTAAAACGTCTAGAAGATAAGATTCAGAGAACCCCCATGCTGGCCAGTCTAGAAGGTGGATCACTGGATTGTGATTGATTTGTTAAGTATCTGCTCACCATGTTATTTGTTAAATACACATCGATTAAAATCCCTTTAAGAGATCTCATTGGGAAATGGTCTTTTGACATTTCCAAACATTTATACATAATTGGCATCTTGTTATTTCATGTAGTTACCTCCTCAACAGCCTTTTCTTTGAGACGTTCAGAATACTTCAGTGCCTTGATCTCCGTTTGCGCCTCTCCTAATTCCCTTTCCTTATCTGCAAATATAGAATAAGAGATATAATACAGTCAGAACCTGGCCTCAAAGCTACATGTCAAACAGAAGTAGAACCCAATCCATTCACAGGAAGTCTGACTCGGCAAGATGAAAAGACATGCATAAGGAGACACGATATAGGTATTTAGTATAGAAAGTTTTGCATATAACTTTATCATCATGTAATGCATATAATTCTGGAGACGAAGTCCATTGGAAAACCTTGGTGGATTATCTTGAAGAACCCCAAGTCTTAAGTCTTAACAAGCCATAACAAGGAGACTCTTTGCTTTCAGGGAAGAAAATAGTTGGTTCGGAGGTTTTTACGAGAGGAAGCTTGTTCAAACATGATTCAGACAAGATCACCATGGTTTATTCTATCTGTAAGAGTAACAGAAACACGGGAGGTTTTGAAGGAGAAATGAGAGTCGTAGGGAGAAGGAAAATAGGAACACGAGAACATTGTAACTTGTAACTTGTAAGAGTGGTTCTAAACAGAAATTGTTCATACAGGTTTCTGAATCTGAGCCTAACCAATTTGAACAGAAAAGAAAAAGACCAAGAAGAAATACCTGTCGCTGTAAAATGAAGAAGCGGTCTGCCGTCCACCGGTGACGAAGGTGCCGAAAGGTGTTCTCTTCAGTTCGACTGTCTCAGAGTCAGCTAAATGCAACGGTGGGGACTGAGAAAGGAACGAAGATTAGGGCAGCGTTGCATTGAGGAGAGCTCTAATTTCAAGCGTAAAGACATAATTGCCCCGACTCTCACGTGTAACAATTGTACACGTATGAAAAAACTTTTAATCCAAGTATAACGCGCTACACTAGCACCCCGTAGGCCCGTAGTCCATATAGGCTATCTTTGGTGATTTAGGGGTGAGAAAATAAAAACAAACCGACCGAAAACGAACCAAAAAATCGGTTAATCAAATCGATCGGTTCGGTGTTTTTAAAAAACTAAAGGTATTGGATTCCAATACCTTTGGGTAGCCTACAAATAGGCAACGGCTGGTCTTGGATTCCAACTTGTCCGCACTCGTTCTTTTAACGTGCGCAGGACAACCCCAAATCTTCAAGTGTTTGACACTTGGTTTCTTTCCGGTCAAAAGTTCATATGGAGT